GGGCGAGCTTGAGAATGGGGGCCTCTAGATGGCCCACGCCGGCGTGACCTGGACCGCGCCGGGCGCGATATCAGTTGTGCCATGTTTTGGGTTTTCTGGTGCTGCGCTGGGCGCCAGCATTGTCGCGCTGGGCGCGGAGGCTCCTTGGGAGTCTCTGTCAAGAGGGCCAAAAGGGGAGCATGTGTTTCTGAAGGTGACTCCGACTTCTGGTGTGGGTAGAGCGCTGAAGGCAAGAAAGTTGACACCGAGGTTTGTGGGTCCCCATCAGATCATACAGCGTGTGGGTCCAGTTTCTTACCGGTTGGCTTTGCCACCGTCTCTTTCAAACCTACACGATGTGTTTCATGTATCCCAGTTGAGGAAGTACGTGCATGACCCGAGTCATGTGGTGGAGCTGGATGATGTACAAGTAAAATAGAACCTGACTTTTGAGAAGTTGCCAGTAGCTGTGATCGATCATAAGCTGAAGGAGTTGAGGGGCAAGTCCATTGCTCTGGTAAAGGTGTTGTGGGATGCAGCTACTGGTGAGGCTACTTGGGAGGTGAAACAGCAGTGCAGGGAGCGATTTCCGTTTCTTTTCCCAAGTAAGCCTGTTTTCGAGGACGAAAACTCCTGTTGTTGGGGAGGTTGTGAGACCCCTTCCGTTTTTCTTTCTTCCCAACTCCCTCCCCACTCACTCAAACTCTCTTCTTCCCTCTAAAATCTTCATTTGGCTGATCATTCTCTCTTTGCTTGGATTCAAGGTGCTGATACCTAGAGTTGGGTTGAGCTGAGCCGTGAGAAGTCCCCCTCAAGCTTATTCTTCTTCTTCATCATCATTCTCTTCTTCCCAAAGCTCGGAGCCGTTGAATCGAGGTAAGGGAAGTTAGTCTTTGCTGCATTTTGGCTGAAAACGAGTTCTAGGAACTCCTTGATTGTTTGAGGTTTGGTGTTTTTACTGAGATTGAAAACTTGGGGCTTTCGGGTTTTTCCGGGGTTGGAAGAAAAATTTGGGGTTTTGCTTGTTTATTGGTTGCATTTGGAAAATGAGGTGTTTTTTGTGATACTTGGTGAAAATGGAGACTTTTGGCTGGATTGCATGTTGGTTATCTGTTGATTTTTGCAAGTTTTGGGCAAATTTTCAAACTTGGGGAAGTTGCTGCTGAGCTTCGCGCTGGGCGCAGTTCTTCGCGCCGGGTGCGAGACCATCAAGGGCTCCATGTAGGCAAGCCCGCCGGGCATAAAGGTGTGTGCACCGGGTGAGCTTGAGAATGAGGGCCTCTATATGGCCCACGCCGGGCGTGACCTGGACCGCGCCGTGCGCGATAACAGTTGTGCCATGTTTTGGGTTTTCTGGTGCTGCGCTGGGCGCTAGCATCGTCGCGCTGGGCGCGGAGGCTCCTTGGGAGTCTTTGTCAAGAGGGCGCTGGGCGCAATGCGAATTGCGCCGGGCGCGAGACCTTGGTAGGTCTCTGCCTTTCCCACGCTGCGCGGGATAGGCCACGCTGGGCGCGTGAGACTCCTTGGAGTCTCTGCCTGGGCATGCGCTGGGTGCAAAGTTGAATTGCGCCAGGCGCGAGAGAGCATTGGGCTCTCTGACTTAGTCACGCCGGGCACGAGTACTCCTGCACCGGGCGTGATGGCCCCTGGAGCTCTCTGGTTATGCCACGCTGGGCGCAACCACGAGTGCGCCGGGCGCGTAGGATGATGATGATTTATATGTTGCTGACTGTTAAATTTTTCTGAAATTGCCGATTGTTGTTTTATGCTGAGTTGAGCTGTAATTGATGAATATGTTGTGCTGACTAGATGAAAATGCTGAAATATGACGATAAGCTGAAACAGATGTATAATGTTGTGCTGAGCTGGGCTGTGATTGATGATTTTAAAATGCTCAAATAAATTATTGTTGTGCTCTAGAATGATGAGCTAAGTTGTGAGTAGTAAGCTGTGTTGTATGCTGATTTGCTGTGCTGTGCTGTAAGCTGTTTGACTGTGTTGTATAATGTTGATCTGTATGCTGTGTATGGCCACTATTGTGGTGCTGTTTCTAGCCGCTATGTCGGTGCTGTTATTAGCCACTATTGTGGTGCTGTTATAGCTGCTAAGGCAGTGCTGTTATTGCCGCTATGCGGTGCTGTTATTGCCGCTATGCGGTGCTGTTATTGCTACTATGTAGTGCTGAAATTGCCGCTTTGCGGTGCTGATATTGCTGAATTGTTGTGGTGTAGTATAAGCTGTGCGGATGTGATGATAGCTGTAGCTGTTTACCATTCATATTGCTTTATATGTATGTTGTTTTCTTTTCACTAGCTTACCATTTGTTGTCTCCATGATATTTGGACTGCGATGATCATACTATGTATGGGAGTAGAGCAAGGATAGGTTGGTGGCTGGCGGTAGGTCTATAGCTGGCAGACGGAGCTGAATCTTTTTAGATGTTTTTTTTTTGTTGTTTTAGCTACTGGGTGTAGTAGCATTTGATATATTTTGTACACTTAAACTCTATCCAGACTTGGATCATGTATATATATATTCTAGACCCTATATATATACACTTGTTCCTTTCTATGTAGTGTTTCTAGTGTGCCGTGCCCTGTGTAATGACTAGCCGAATCGTTACAAAATCAATCTGTGAGACACAAGTTAATTTTCTATCTCAATGTCTATTAAAAGTAACAAAAGATTATTTTTGCTTCTTTTACACTATTTGATGTGATTTTTCATGAAACACACATGTAATAGATGTAGTTCTAAACATGCTTTTTGTGTTTTAATTTAATTTTGTTGGAATACATAAAATGAAATGCAAGGTAAGAGGGATTTCTTCGTGAAATTCAAATAGGCCCACAATTTTTATTTTAAACTTTGAAATATTCTTGGATTTGAAGTATATTTTAAAATTTTAATATAGATGGACTTTGATAAAGTTGAAAGAGAAATAGCAGTGGTGTGTTTTTCATTAAAAAGTATGAGAATCTCTTACAACTACAAGCCTACAATGGAATTGTCTACAGTAAAAAAACTACATGTAATTTTGTAAAAAATAAAAAATAGAAAAACATATATTGCACTATATTTTAGAGTCTGTTGGTACAAATTTTAACTAAACAAAACCAGCACCTTAGGTGATATATGTATCTTGACACTACATTAGAAACTCCAGATCTATTATTGTGTCAATTGTCTTTTACATTTTATAAGATAATCTTGCACCATTCTCATTTTTTTCATGACTATCGTTACAACTAAACCAAGATCAAGATGAGCAAGTAAATTCGAAACCCATTCTTTTATATGTTTTTTGAGTTTAATTTTGATACAATGCAAAAGGATTATTTTGAAATCATAAATATAAATTTAAACTAGTTACTGTATTCGAAAAGTTAATTATTATCTTTAATATATTTTCTAACATGTTCTTTGATTAGGTAAAAAGTATTTTTTTTATTACAATTTATTGAAAAATCACAAATATTTGTTACTTTTTACTTTTTATTTAACAAGTCTCTATTTTGATTTTACATGTTGTTAGCTCTCCTTTTGTCTTTGTTATCTTAATTTTCCTTTTCTCTTTCATTTTATTTTTTGTTTGTATAAAATAAATATAGACACTTTCCAGTTTCCGTTACTATTTAAAATAATTTTTAATTGGATAATAATGTAGAAAATTATATTGACTACATAAAAATTAAATTCTTATTCTAATTATTCTTAAATTAAAAATTAAATTTTATTTATAAAAAAATTAAGTATCAATTATACATTCAAGTTGAAATGCGACACCCATACATAATAAAGATTTTTAATAGTACCAATTGTGTTAGGCTTATTCATTAAATAACTTTTATGAACAATTTATTATGAACAATTTATTGCTAAATTAGAAATATTACTAGAATATCATTAGTCGAGTCTACTAATTCAAATAAAATTGCCTTTATTCAAATTTTGAAATCAATAATAATATAAAAAACTTAATATGACTTTTGTCATTTAATAATTAAGATATCTAAAAAACATGTGTTAATTTTTGTTATATTCTTAATAAATTTAATTACTTTTTTAAGTTCCTATAATTTTATAAAATTTATTTTTTAGTCTATATAGATACCGTTTTTTTATTAGTTCCTATAATTGCATAAACTTTCCTTTTCTAATTCCTAAAATTATAAATGCTTTCTCTTTTAATTTTTTTATAATTGTTTAAAATTTTCCTTTTTAGTTCATATAAAAGTAAATAAAAGGGACTAAAAGAGGATATAAATGATGAAAGTAAGAACTAAAATGACGTGTTTAAAAGACAAAATTTATAAAATTATAAGAACCAAAAAATAATTAAACCTTCTTAATATAATCAACATTTCACTTTCTAATTATTTTTAAATTTAACTTTCACAATAATTATTATAAAAATATAAATTCTGATTGTAATGATAATTTATGTTCGAAAATAGTTAAACCGTAATACGTCTTAGTTAAATTCATAAAAATTAATGTATAGTTTGTAATATTTTAAGAGACAAGGACAAGAAATGAATGACAAAGCAGTGTTGTTCCGAGTTGGTTGTGAGTGACATTGATGTTCTCATTGATATCATCGAAGCCTCAGTGTTAAAATCAGTGTTCCTCCTTTGTACTCTCCATCATCCCTTGCATTCAGTGTTTCGCTTTTCTCTTCTTCATTCCTCGAATTCATCGCCTTCACAAACCCTTATATTCCCACTTTTCCATTTCCACCATTTCTTGCAGATCACAGCGCCGTTTTAGCTCAGAAGCCAGAAAATTCGATTTTTGATTCGTGGGGTTGGTTCCAAATGGCGTCGTTCACGGTCCCTTGCCCCAAGTGCGTTCCTTTTGCTCGTTTGGGACTGAACTCTCAGACCCAGCAACGGAACGCGCCAATGGTCTCGTATGGGAGCGGGTTGGCCTTGAAGACATCACTGTCATTTGGATCTTCGAATGCACCAAATGGGATTCAGGTGCGTTGATTTGTGAAATATGAATCTGGGTTTGAAGTTTGGATTAGGAATACCTTGTTGATTTGTTCAGATTTTGGATGGTGGTGGTGGTGTCGCGTTCTGTGATTGATTGTTTAGTGTGTGTGCTTGTATGAATAGTGTTTGAGATTTTTTTTTTCTCGAGGTTAGATAGTGATAGGGGAAAATTGGTATTCTGAATTTAGATATTTGGGTGCCATGTTGTTAACTTATTTCTTGTTTTAGCATATTGATTGTTAAGTTTTTGGCTATGCTCTAACTCTGACTATTCTATTATTTTCAGCTTATAAATTAGTTATATGCAAATCCCCATCACTGTCTTTTCTGTGTTGAGTGTCCTTTACTTTTTGGGTATAAATACAAAAAACAAAAGGGAACTTTTTGTTCCTTTAAGTCCTATTTAATTTGAAGCTCTGTTTAATAACTTGCACTTTACAATTGACACGTTTTGATCTAAAGAAACGTAGTATTTCATCCGACTTTTACCGTACTTCTTGCGCAGTGAAGAAATAATGAGTAGTGTTTTGTTTTATTCGAAACAAGCTACAGCTAAATGTTTGATCAATTGACAAGTGTCAAGTGTTACCTTTAATACGGTCCTAGAGAATCATTGTTTTTGTTGAGTGTTATTGTGTTGAAAATATGTTATGTACTGCTATATGAATGTTTCTGTTATGAAGCTTGGTTTTGGGTTTACTTTCAGCTTTATGGCTTAGACTTCCTAGTAATTTTTATGCTTAAATTATATGCTCATAGTAATCTTTCTATTGATTTAATTTCCAAACATGGGGGCTACACAAAGTTTCAGCATGTCATAACCAGAAGTAGTGTATCATTCCATTGTATTTGATGTTCTGACTCACTGAATACTATTAATAAACTTGTGTCAGAGGCTTTGCAGCTATATATTTCTTCCTGATTTTTATGTTTCATTGTTATTGTCATGTCCTGCAGTGCCTTAACAGGAAGCAATTTTCTGTCTTGAAGTATCAAGCAAAAACAAATGAGGTCAGTTGACTCAGTTCACAGAGAGTTTTACTTTGGAAGAAAACTGTCATCAGAGTCTGCTAATCCTTTTGAGCAAATTAGTTCTTCATACGATTAAATTAACAATAACCATAAGTTACGCTGCTCTGTGTCATAGGCCGTTACTGTTGAAAATTCTGCACCTGTACAGGTCAATAGACCTAAAGTTGCTTCACCAGAAGAGAAAGTTGACCATAATGGAAAACCCTCTGGTCCAAGCACTTCCGTTGATGCATCTTCAATTTCTGCATTTATGAATCAAGTTGCAGATCTTGTTAAGTAAGACTAAGCTGCTGCGCTTTGCATACACTTGCATGTTTGCTCTCTTTTCTTAAATCAACATTAGTATATGAAACATTTACATATTCTTATGCAAGTGGATTCGGAGCTAACTCAACCTTACACAATATTATATTATTTCTGGGGGCAGACTTGTGGACTCTAGAGATATTATGGAGCTTGAACTTAAACAAGCAGACTGTGAGCTCGTGATAAGAAAAAAGGAAGCATTACAGCCTCCACCAGCTACTGTTATGGCTCCAGTGTCACAACCATATCCATATCCCACACATCCTATGCCGGTACCACCACCACCCGTTGCTGCTTCCGCTCCTGCAAGCCCTCCACCTTCAAAAGCCTTACCTGCTCCTGGAAAAGAAAGCACATCATCTCATCCACCGCTGAAAAGTCCAATGGCTGGAACCTTTTATCGAAGTCCAGCGCCTGGCGAACCTCCATTTGTCAAGGTATGTATCAGTTTTACTTAACAAAACATGTAATTTAAACAGTGAACTTTTTTTGAGATGTTGATTTAGAAATCATTCTATCGGTATTTACAACTAATTATTAACATGCTTGCTGAATAAAATAATGGATAGCCTTATTCTTTTGTTTGTTTCTGTATTTCAGGTTGGAGATAAAGTGCAGAAAGGGCAGGTCGTTTGCATTATCGAGGCTATGAAATTAATGAATGAAATTGAAGTATGTGATTATTCTGCTTTTTTTTCTACTTTTACTAATATTACTATCTTATTTTGCTTTTCTCTTTACTTTGGAGAGAAATGCTTCTGACACAATCTTTACTATTAGCTGAAACTTGTTGAAAATCACAAATTGTGTGGATCTTATTTCTAATTTAACGAGTCCTGCTTGTGATTTTGTTATTTTCAATAAATTTTAAGCTATATAAGAGAGAGTATGTTGCTTATTAGCACTTCTCTATTTTGGATGATAGTGTCATATTCTAAGATACATAGATCCATATAAAAGGCACCCTCAGTATATACACAAGAAACAGACCTGTAAAAGCTGTATGAACAATTGCACAGTTTCTGTTGCTTACATACTTCATCTTATTCAGCTGCATTAGCTCTAGTTACTTATTTAACCAATAAAATTTGTAATTACTTGATTCTCTTTCATGGCTTTTTAGGCTGATCACGCAGGAACAATAACCGAGGTAATAGCTCAGGATGGTAAAGCAGTCAGTTTAGACACGGTACTCTCTCTCTTCCTCTCTCCCTCCCTCCTAACATTTTGCATAATTTCTCTAACTGAAACGTTAATTTGTGCTTCATGCAGCCTCTTTTTGTAATTGTACCATGAAGTACCAGAACTTCGAAGTTGATGGAAACTTCCCTTGTTGGAAAACATGCCACAAGATTCTTATAATGACCCGAGTTTTTCATTATTCAAATTTCTTATGCTATAATGTTCGTCCTATTTTAGGAATTCCTTCTTTAAAAAGACAACCAAGGCATAAAGCCCTAGCATATCAAAAGGAATATTGGAACTTGTAGTTCTAAACAGTTTTGTTTTTTGTAGTGTTATAAACCTTATGCATCTGGTTTCTCAAGGATGAACCTGCTAACTGATTTTACAATAATTTGTTCTAGCATGTTTATGTGGGGGTAAAGGATGAATTACAAGTAAAACAATGTTCTGGTCCGCATTTCAAATAGAAACTTCTCCTTTCCCAACCGGCCGAGTCACCGGTTTTATCCCGGTCTAAAACTGAGTTGATGACATCACCTCTTATGCATGTTTGGTATGATAAAAGGGCCACAATGCCACATTGGCTATAGATTTAATTTCTAGTTACTCGAGTGGATCCAAATCGAGTTTAATAATACTAGGGAAATGTAAAAATTTCTCTCAACATATAAATTAGAATAGCTATTTTGAACAAAAAGATTTTTAATAGTTATTCTTCGGTTAGAGTGTTTTTATAATTTTTTAATGAGAGTATTTTTATGATTTTTCTTTTTTGAAATCTTTCATCTTTCTATTTATCCTTTTGAATTTTATTTCTAAATTGAATTTTAATAATTTTTTTTATCAAAAGTTAAAAATAACCTTATATCCTAATATGAAATATTTATCATAAATTTTAAATATAATTTATATTTTAAAAAATATTTATTTAATATAAACTTTAATTATAATATAACTTGTTTATTATAAATTAGCCAAAGAGAAATGTTGCATCTTTATATTTAATTAAAAAACAAAACAAAATAAATAGATATATGTGCCCTTGAAGTGAAGAGAAAGAAGAGAAATGCATGCAATAAAAGTGATAGAAATTGATTTAAAAGTAACTTATTGTTATTATAAGGCATAGATTAGGATTTTTTTAATACTTTTTTAAGGCATCTTATAATTTTCAAAAGTATTTTTTTTATTTATCTTTATTAAAAATCACGAGAATGCATGTTTTTTTCTAACTTCTTAAATTCTTTTTAGTTGACATTGATTATTTTTGTTGGTATTGATTTATAAGTTTTAATATAGAATAATATTTTTACTCATGAAAATTTAATAATAAATAAATAAAAAAATTGTTAAATCATGATTTTATTTTATAAATTTAATAAAATCAATTAACATAAATATTTATATTGATATGTGTTACTTAGTTAAAAATATGTAATAATAAAGATTAGAGAGAGAGGAATAAACATTTAAGTATAAAAAGGTAAACCGAGACATAAAAAAGTTACTAATACCTAAAGAGTCTGCATAAAGTAAAAAATTAGTGTCTCTTAGGGGATTTGCCAAGATGCGAAACGGTGTCTTCTCCTTAGTCCCTTGCTTTGCCAGCACATCCGCAACTTGGTTGCCTTCATGTAGAGAATGATTCAGGGAGACAACCCAATCTTTTGCAAGTAGTTTCTTTACTTCATAAATGATAGATGCATAAGAAAGGGAATTGCACCCTTTATCAACGTAACAGCCAGAAGAGAGTCTGACATGCACTTAACATTTCTGAAATTTAGCTCCCAACACAACTGAAGTCCCTTCCAAAGAGCAAACATTTATGCAAATAAAATATCCTTTGTCACCCAAATAACCACTAAATCCTTGTATCCAATTACCATTGGAAGATTGAATAAGCCCCCCATAACTAGCTGCTCCTTGAATCACGTTGCCATCTGTATTAACCGCAACTTGGTTTTCATGAGGATCTTACCATCTGACAAGTCGAGATTGTTGGGGAAAATTGTTCTACACATCATACACTTGCCTAATAACCGAAGTGAAAGATAGGCTAGCATACACAGTATGCCAAGTACTAACCTCCTTATTTTCAAAAATGGATTCATTTATGGTTTTCCATACTTGCCAGAGGGTAGCAAGGAATGGAATCTCATCAAATTTAGTATTTGCCACAATCTAGTTCCTCGCTGAAGTGAAACCATAGAAGGAGTTTCTCTAATTAAACCCTATAACATCCCAAATTCTTCTTGCCTTTTCACAATCTCTCAGGCAGTGCAGAATAGTTTCTTCATCCTTATCGCATCAAGTACAGAATGGAGTAATTAAGATCTCTCTATGAGCAATAACACCCCGAGTTGGGAGGGAGTTATGACAAATCAGCCATACCATAAAATGAATATTTTCTGATACATTCAATTTCCAAATCCAATTCCAGTGTGAATCATCAATGGTATAATCCTACTGGATTAACCACCCATAACCACTCTGAGCATTATATTGTCCAGATAAAGATCCACCCCAAATGAAGATGTCTTCCACCGAATCACTCAAGAAAGGTCGCTGATTCCTAATGACATCTTCAATCTCATTAGGAAGAGGGGTTCAAAGCCTTTGTAGAAGCCACTCATCCTTTATCCAAATATCCTTCACCTTAGTCTCCGAGTCATGGATGTTAATCAGGCATGATAATCTAATCTACTCCTGCGAGTACCTGCCCTAATTTGGATGGGAAAAACCCGTGTTTACGAGTTCAGGTTCATATTTTTTTGATTGATAAAATTGGGGACGGAGATGTCAATACCCGCCGTCCCCGTACCTGCCCTCGCTCCCGCCTCGCTTAATAATAATTAAAAAAATTATTTATATATATATATAAATCAAAATTAGAAATATTTATATATAAAAATTTGTATTATCTTACTTTTAATTTTTTTTAATTTTTTTTTTCATATTTATTAGAAAAAAAAAAAAGAAAAAAAAAAAGGTAAGAACGGGGATGGGGCAAGGAAACCCGAACCCTGTCAGAGACAGGGCTGTGTATCCAGATTTTACGCCCAGCAAATATCGAGGACAAGAGCGGGTTAAATATGCGAGGGTGGAGGTGGGGAACATAAAACCCGCCCCGCCCCGTTGCCATGCCTAATGTCAATGAAGTTTACTTTGTCACATACCCACCAAATTCCTGTCCAGTTTGTAAACCAGATATTAGTTTCACCATTACCAATCTTGAACCAGAACCCTCTTGAATCTTGATAGGTCTTTTAGTGCTTTTAAGATAGAATTCCAAACAACAAAACCTCTCGACTACTTTGCTTCTAAAAAGTTAGTATCCCTCAAATATTTAGCTTTAAGGACATTCACTCAGAGCTTTTCGCCGTGCAAATTCCCAAATCAATTTTCCCAAGAGAGAAATATTTTGGTGGCGAGAGTTTCTAACCCCCAATCCACCATTTTTTCGGGGACGGGTTATTTTGTTCCAACCAACAAGATTTATTCCTTAATTCTCATCATTTTTCCAGAGGAAATTTCTGATCATTGAATCAAGCCTAGTGTAAACACTTTGCGTGAACCAATAAACCTGCATGGTGTAACATGGCACAGTTGCTAGGATAGAGTTCACCAAGGTTAAATGCCCTGGTTTATTCAACTGTTTCAACTTCCAAGATGCTAATCTTGAATTTATACGATCAATCATCGATCGAGTCAAAATGTTCTTTCCTTGGTCTTCCATGAAAAATAGTGAAACCCAAATATCGTCCAAAGCTAGATGTAAAACGAATGGAAGATATCTGAGCAAGCCTCTCCTTCTTAACATTAGACGCTATTTTAGAAGCAAGAGCACGAGACTTTTGAAGGTTGATTTTAACTCTAGAAGCATCACAATTTTTTTTTAATAAATTGGACATAAATTGAACATGAGAGATTTTTGCTTTGACGAACAACAAGCAATCGTCGGCAAAAAAGATATGAGAGATAGAAGGTCCCTCTTTTGAGACTTTTACCGGTTCCCAATTCCTTTGTTCAACTACATAAGAAATTATTAAACCCAATTTCTCCATGCAAAGCACGAAAAGATATGGAGATAATGGATCACCGTGATGAAGGCAATGCGTTGGGACAAATGGGGGAGACCTACTACAATTCCATAGGATAGAGAACGTTAGGGAAGTCACACAGCTCGTAATAAGACTTATAATTATAGGCGGAAAACCAAATTCAATAAGCACTCCATGAAGGAAATCCCAATCAACTCTATCATTGGCTTTTTCTAGATCTAATTTAAAAACTAGATCTCCCCTTTTCTTTTTCAAAGTGTGCATGTGATGGAAGACCTTTTGAAGGATGATAACATTATCAGCAGTCTCTGTACTAGGGATGAAGCTACTCTATAGAGGGTTAATCAAATCATTTAAGAAAGGTCTCAATCTGTTAACTAGCACCTTTGTAATGAGCTTGTAGACCATATTACATAAACTAATAGGCCGAAAATCTTTAAAAGCTAAAGGTTGATCAATTTTCGGAATCAAAATTAAAAGAGTTTCCATAATACTTTGATCAATCTATCTTGTAAGAAAAGCATTATGCACCAATCTCCAAATGTCTTACCCCACAATATGCCAATAAAGCTTGAAAAAGATGAGTTGAAAACCATCCGGCCCCGGGGCTTTGTAAGACTTCATACTCTTTAAAACATTATGAACTTCCTCTTTAGTAATTGGTTTTAGAAGTTGAGAAATGCACTCATCATTCAATCTATGCATGGAAGGAGTAGGGAGTGAATTGTTCACGGCTTCCTTAACTCGAAAAAGATTCTTGAAAAATTAGATACTTCATTCTGTAAAATCTCTGAATCTGTACACCAAATACCAGAAGGGAGGTGTAGGCCATGAATCCAATTTCTCTTTCGATGAACCACAGTTTGAGTATGAGAAAATAAGTATTCCAATTTCCAAATCTTATCCATTGCCCCCTATATTTCTGGAACCAAAACAACTCTTCCGAGGAAAGGATTTGGTCATACTCCTGTTGAAGCTTAATTTGAGTATGAAACAGGTTAGCTGAGTTTACCCTTTCCAAAGTTCTTTGTATTCCTTTCAATCTAGATTCAATTTTCCTTTTACAAGAAACAATGTTTCCAAATTTCTCCTTGTTGAACTTTATAGAGTGAATCTTGAATTTGACGTAGGGTTAAAAAAACATTTCCACTATTAGCTTCCCAAGCAGAAGAAATAACTGAAGAAAAGTCCTGATGAGAAGCCTAGATAGCTTCAAAACAAAAGGGTTGCACACCATTGCTCCTATGTATGAGATCACAACACAAAAGGAGGGGGTTATGGTCTGTGTTAGTATTTAATAGTT